AGGAGGGGGAGGAGGGAGAGGAGGACGGGAAGTCAACAACAAGAGATCCAAACCAAAAAAGAAGCAATGTGCAAAGGAAATACAAGAGAATACCACGTTCAGATTGATGGGGGGCTCCAGAGTGATGACTCCAAGAAAGAAAACAGAATTGATAATATTTTTTTGGTGTTACCAAGTGGGAAGTGACATAGAAAAGTGTTTTACAGAGCTGGCAGAAGTGAGAGAAGAGACTGAAAAAACTATGCAAATGAAAAACATGTTAATTCCAAAACAAAAAGTTAAAAAAAAAAAAAAGGAAAACAGTGACAATATATTAATTGACTTAATAGAAAACAATACTTATACCTGTTTAGCATCCAATCCACAGCATAAAAATTTAAAGCTGCAAGCCATCCTAGACTTATTCTAGCATCAACTTGCTGACTTTATATACACAAAAAAAGGAGTTTTGGAGATGTTAAATGACATACATTAATTATTGCCACAAATTCCAGATGTATCAGTTGTTGCTACTGAACATACTCAGCCTAGTCTACACATGGACATGGTTTTAGTAGCTGGATATATCAGCGATGCTGGCATTCTGAGTTCTGGGTCTAGCTATACTTCTAAGCATGTAAAATTAGGGAGATAACAACTTCTAGATCTTAAGTTTTCTATAAAATTAGAAGAATGGTACCTTCCTATATTACTTTAGTTAACACAAGGGTCAGATTAGATACTAGATTTTAAAAAACATTAAAAATAATTAAAAAGTTGTTTATATTAGTAACAATTATTAGCAAACATAAGCATTATGATGTGAGGAACAGAGACATAATATCTGGTTGATACATAAGGCAAAGCAAATACCAAGGCCAACTTGTCTCTTTCCAGGCAGAGCAGATGCTCATAGCTCTTTGATTCATTTGTTTTATATTTGGTTATTTGGCTATTCTATATTCATATTTGAAAGTCTTGTTTTTAATTAAAAACCATAACTATCCTTAGTTGATTTCCACTTAATGCCTTTTTAAAAAGCCCATCTGTTATTAAAATCTATGTTTTTCCCCCTCTAGGCTAATGGTTTTTGGGGTCTCAGATTCCACTGAGAATAAAGCTATGAATACATTCCTCATAAAACGTGTGTATACTCAAAAATAAACTCAAAATGGATGAAAGACCTAAACGTAAGACTGGAAGCCATCAAAATCCTAGATAAGAAAACAGGCAACAACTTCTTTGACCTCGGCTACAGCAACTTTTTATTTGACATGTCACCAGAGGCAAGGGAAATAAAAGCAAAAATGAACTATTGGGACCTCATCAAGATAAAAAGCTTCTGCATGGCAAAGGAAACAATCAGCAAAACTAAAAGGCAATCGATGGAATGGAGAAGATATTTGCAAATGACGTATCAGATAAAAGGTTAGTATCCAAAATCTACAAAAACTTATCAAACTCAACACCCAAAAAACAAAACTATCCAGATAAGAAATGGGCAAAAGACATGAATACATGCTTTTCCAAAGAAGACATCCACATGGTTAACAGACACATGAAAAGATGCTCAACATCACTCATTATCAGGGAAATACAAATCAAAACCACAATGAAATATCACCTCACACCTGTCAGAATGGCTAAAATTAACTCAGGCAACAACAGATGTCAGCGAGGATGTAGAGAAAGAGGAACCCTTTTACACTGCTGGTGGGAATGCAAACTGGTGCAGTGACTCTGGAAAACAGTATGAAGGTTCCTCAAAAAATTAAAAATACAACTACCCCACAACACAGCAATTGTACAACTAGGTATTTATCCAAAGGATACAGGTGTGCTGTTTTCAAGGAGCAGAGACACCTCAATGTTTATAGCGGTGCTATCGATAAGAGCCAAAGTATGGAAAGAGCCCAAATGTCCATTGATTGATGAATGGGTAAAGAAGATATGGTGTATATCTATATCTATATCTATCTATCTCTATATATTTCTATACATATACATATACATTGGAATATTACTCGGTGATCAAAAAGAATGAAATCTTGACATCTGCAACAATGTGGATGGAACTAGAACGTATTATGCTAAGCGAAATTAGTCAGAGAAAGACAAATATCATATGACTTCACTCATATATGGAATTTAAGAAACAAAATAGATGAACACAAGGGAAGGGAAGCAAAAATAATATAAAAACAGAGAGGGAGACAAACCAGAAGAGACTCTTAAATACAAAGAACAAACTGGGGGTTGCTGGTGGGGTGCTGGGTGGGGGGAAGGGCTAACTAAAGGGGTGAGGGGCAATAAGGAAGATACTTGTTCGGATGAGTACTGGGTGTTATATGTAAGCGATGATTCGCCAAATTCTATTCCTGAAATTATTATTATACTGTATTTTAACTAACTTGGATCTAAATTAAAAAAAAAAGACTATGGGAAATATACTTGAAAGTCAAAGAATAGCAAAATTATGTTAGTAGGGAAAGGAATTAAAAAAGTGATTCAATATATATAATAATTTTCTTATGGGTCTTCATTCATGAGAGACATAGATTTTATTTGTATCATCTTATGAAAACCAGATCACATGAATAACCAAGAAATCCAGGAAGATGTTTATGAATCAATTTTGTTAGATTTTCTGTGTTTAAATATGTGCTTTTACTTAATCCACTCTCTGTAATATATAATTAACCCACAGGAAATTATAGATTCAGTATTGGTTGATTTGGGGATAACATTTACATACCTGTGTTATTTCTAATCATATTTTCAGTTTTGAGTAATGGTTTGATCATAATGTGGCTTACTTTTTATTTTTCTAAATAATCATATGTACATATATATGTATTACTTTTTAATATAAATGTTTATATTCATAATTACTATTTATTCTTACTATAAAAAAGGACTGTAGAAAACAGTTTTATTTCAAAATGTTAATTAGCCTGATTTTACATATAAACACAGACTACTAAGTTAATTAAAAAAATGGGTGTGTACTTATGTGGGCACATGCACTTAACAAACACACAACAAGACAATTTTCCAAACAACTGCATTTCATAGGTTAATGAACAAATCTAGGAAGGAAGATGTATTTTATAGATAATCTTTTAAAAATCTCTTTTACATCCCTTTTTTTTGGGTCTATGTTGATTTCTACTGTCATTCCTAAGAAGCGACTCAGTTAACAATATTCTTAGGAATTTTCCTGCAAAGAATGAAACACCTATCTTGTAACATTAAGATATCGGTTGAGGGGCGCCTGGGTGGCGCAGTCGGTTAAGCGTCCGACTTCAGCCAGGTCACGATCTCGCGGTCCGTGAGTTCGAGCCCCGCGTCGGGCTCTGGGCTGATGGCTCAGAGCCTGGAGCCTGTTTCCGATTCTGTGTCTCCCTCTCTCTCTGCCCCTCCCCCGTTCATGCTCTGTCTCTCTCTGTCCCAAAAATAAATAAACGTTGAAAAAAAAAAAATTAAAAAAAAAAAAAAAAAGATATCGGTTGATATACAGCTTATGCTCAGGTGTAAAGGCCTCAGCCTTTCTTCCCTCTAGCTGTTAAAGGGTAAGTTTATTGTAATTGTTCTTTTCTATTTCCTTTCCTTTCCTTTCCTTTCCTTTCCTTTCCTTTCCTTTCCTTTCCTTTCCTTTCCTTTCCTTTCCTTCTTTCTTTTTTTAACGTTTATTTTTGAGAGACAGAGACAGAGCATGAGCGGGAGAGTGGCAGAAAGAGAGAGAGAATCCAAAGCAGGCTCCAGGCTCTGAGCTGTCAGCACACAGCCTGACACGGGGCTCGAACCCACAAACCATGAGATCATGACCTGAGCCGAAGTCAGATGCTTAACTGACTGAATCACCCAGACACCCCTGTAACTGCCATTTCTTAAGAGTTCCCAAATAATTTCCTCTAAACATGGTAAAATATTTTGACGTTATTCTTAAAAACTTTGGACTCATAGCCTGACCCACCTATTTGTCCCCCTTATTCAGTTAGTGGTCTGCTTGGTAATACTTAAAAACACATAATGGACAAAGAATGTTTCGGCTCCTAAACTTCATAAACTTCAACTTACTCTGGTTTCTGGCAAAGTGTTTCAGCTTAGTGAGTTGTCTTGTGGACTCTTTCTGTATTTCTCTATTCTAAAATCAAGATTATAATCACTTTCATATTTCAGCTTTTCTAAATATTCTATCCCAAATAATGTATTATTTATTTTTATGCTGGGAGTTTTCTTCTTTAAAGTAACTATTAACAATTTCACCTTAGCCATAACTTTTTTAAGGACAATTAAAGTATTCTATTGTTTTCTCTACTGTTCTTACTTGTGCAGTCTCTGCATGTTCCAGCATTTCTTCGAATTCCTGATACTCTTCATCATCTGGTTCAGCACCTGAGAGGCGAGCTGCCCTGGCCATGAAATATGGAGGCAGCTCTCCAATTGCTGTACCGATACCCTATGTGCAAAACCAAAATACTCACATGAGATTCTGTTCTCAACATAAGAATACTAAACAGATTAAATCTATATTTTTCTACATTGCCAAAACCACATTAAGATGCATGTATTAGGGAGGAAAGCATATACTACATAATCAAGAGAACATGAGTGTGACTCTTGGCCCTAATACTGACCAATACAAAGCCAGGCGAGATAATATACACTAAACTCTTAGACAATTCCTGGTGCATGACAGACATTAGATTAACGTTAGTTCTCTAAGCATCTCTACTTATACTCTGTGATTTCTGTCAGTTTTTTCCCTCTTTTCAAATCATTTGGTAATGAGTATTCACTAGTACAAGTTTTAGATAAAACTTTCTAGGAAATCTTCTGGTATTTAAAATGCTGTTTCAATCTGGTATTTAAGGTATTTAATCTGGTATTTAGGGTGCTGTTTTAATTTTTTTGTGTGTGCAGAGTTAAAACTTTTAACAAAGAGTGGTCAGGAAGCCCCTTGAAAACTCAACATTAGGATGGATAATTTTCACCACAGGAAAAATGTTTATTTCCTCAGGACATTGAGTGACTCATGTTTCAGTCACTTTGTGGATTCTTGTTTTTGAAGAGAATTTTTTTTTCACTCAACTTAAAACATAGGATGAAAACAAAGGTAAGAGAATCAGGAACTTGGTTTGGACTTAAATGGCTTAAATACAAGATAGATGATAATGTAAAAGGTATATAGTTTCTAGGAAAATTCTCAACTTTGAGCCATCCTTCTCTGCCTTGAGTCATAGTGAATGAAAAAGTTTTGCTAATTCTCAGAAGCAATTTTAGGTTTATTTGCTCTGTACTATGACTTTGTCAACAAATGCCTTGAAAAGAATCCCCAAGGAACATTATCAAATTCAAATATTTCATGTTCACAGTGTTATATTTCAATGTGTGGGATCAATAATCTCCGAATGAGACTGCATTATCCACATATGAAACAAGAATTCTGAAAAAGAATATACTTAAGTGTCAAAAGAAGCAGGCTATATTTAAAGAATAAAGAGAGAGAGATGAGAGGGAGGAGAGACATATACATCACGGGATATATAAATAAAACACAAATCATATTTTGCTAAACAAAAAAAGTTAATGTTAGTCAACTTTGGAGAATGTTAAGAGAACCAACTTATTATTTAAAAAACAGGTAAATAAAGGGGAAAAATCCATTACTTATCCTCTCTTACCTATATGAAAGATATCTTGGGGTAACCAAATTGGTGATAAGGAGTTTTTCTTTATAAAAACATTCCAGTCAATAAGTAAAGTAAAAAAAAATGATGTAATTGGTTTACCCCCATTTTATAACCCTTAATAATGGACTTGTATAACAATGGTGATAATACCACAAAAGGAAAGACAATCAGACATTACTGTACCTCATGACAGAAATACACAAGACTATAACATGTATTCTCGACAAAAAAATTTTTTTCAAGCCTCTCTAACTATCAACTCACAGGAAACATAGGGAACAGATAAACATATTTAAACTATACCAACTGGGATATAATTAGTAAAATCGAGACTGTGAGAAATTATATTTGACAAACAACCCAGTTTCAACAACATATAAATATGAAAAGAAAAACAAAGAAACACCATCAGAAAAATCTGAACATTAACTAGGTAGCTGATCTGAAGAGACTATTCCTAATTTCTCTTAAGTGTGATAATGTTTTTTTAAGTCCTAAGACTGATATATTTACAGATGAAATGTGATATGTTATCTAGGATATGCTTCAAGATAGTGGAGAGCCTACAGAGGAGGGATCAGATAAAACAATATTAGCCAGGGATTAATATTAACTGAGTTTGGGTGATAATATATTAAATTAATTATATAAATCTCTGTACTTAAAAAAATTTTTTTCCCATTACAAAAAGTAGGAAGTTAATTGCAACATGTTATTCAAAACATGAACTTCTCTTAAAACCTGTTAACTCAAATGTTTAATAGTTCTGAAAGCAATCATATGATTCAAACTCATGACAAGTTTCCTTAAAGTTAAAAAGGAAGTAATAATGGACTGAAATGAAATCAAGAGCTACATACTATATTATACTTGGTTGACTATATTTATTGTTATAGTTGAATTCTGCTCATGTTTTCCCACATTAGCAAGAAACAAGAATGATGATCATGAGTCAGTATTCTGTTTTTTACACAAATAGATAAAAAGAAATACAGTCATCCAGACAGGTCCCCCAAAACACATTATATTCTAGACACAAAAGTTTATTTAGTTATCTCAAATTAGGTACTGCAGTCCCATAATTTCATGATTCTTACAAAACAATTTTATAATTCTTGCAAAATCAAAACAAAAAACCAAAACAGAAGTGTGGAACACTAAAAACTGTCAGCCTAGGCTTAATTAAGGGGAAGAAATAACTGGTTTCCTTATTGCAAAAGAAAGAGACAAGTAGTTTTTAGTCAAGCAATAATTCAGAAAGCTCTTCTAAAAACCATCTGCTCCATATCAATTGATTACCTTGAAGTCCCTGCTTCTTGAACTGGAGAAGATTTTAACATGCACAAAATATGCAAAACCAAGAGGGAAATATCTTCCTGGAGTATCAATTATATTCAAAGATTTAGGGGAGGAGGAAAATCCTGAATGTTCATGCTTTTAAAAAGTTTTGTCAAGGGGCGCCTGGGTGGCGCAGTCGGTTAAGCGTCCGACTTCAGCCAGGTCACGATCTCGCGGTCCGTGAGTTTGAGCCCCGCGTCAGGCTCTGGGCTGATGGCTCAGAGCCTGGAGCCTGTTTCTGATTCTGTGTCTCCCTCTCTCTCTGCCCCTCCCCCGTTCATGCTCTGTCTCTCTCTGTCTCAAAAATAAATAAAACGTTGAAAAAGAAAAAAAAAAAATTAAAAAAAAAATAAAATAAAAAGTTTTGTCAAGTGGATTCACAAGCAAATCAGCATTTTGCTTTTCAATGATGGGAATAATAAGTTTAATAGTAAAAATATGGAGAGCAGAAAATTTTACATATGCTGATTCTCAGATATTATGGTAGTTTTGTATTATCTATGTGTTAATAATTTTTTTTTAACAAAATGATTTTTCTATTACATATTCCAATTACAAACATAAATCAGAGGTTAAAAGCAGAAGTTAGGAGGGTAAGCTTGAAATCACTGAGAAATGCAGGGTTCTTACAGAAAACAATTATACCAATTCTAGTAAAATTTTCAAGACTGTTTTGCACATAGAGAAAATTTGCTTCCAGTTTCCCTTGAGGTCAGTTTTCAAATGGCTGTAAGAAGGAATGAAGTTCTGACACATGCTACAACATGGATGAAACTTGAAAACATTATGCCAAGCAAAATAAGCCAGACATAGAAAAACATTATATGATTCCATTTAGATGGGGTATCTAGAATTGACACAATCAAAGAAGAAGAAAATAGAAAAGACTCTGGAGTTATTGTTTTAATGGGTACATATTTCTGCCTGGGATGACAAAAAGTTCTGTCAATGATGACACAACATTGTAAATATACTTAAGGCCAATAAATTGTGTACTTAAAAACGGTTAAAATGGTAAAACTTTCCTTATATATATTTTACCACAATAATCACCCCCTAACCATGAACTTAACAAATACATGACCTTAAAAGGTGATGCTCTCTATCTAAAAGTCAACACACATGCTCTCGCCCCTGCCCTGCTGTCCCACTTTACAAATCTTTATTATTCTTAGATCTCAACCAAAACACTGCTTCTTCATGGAAATCTTCCTTGAATCATAAACTAGGGAAAATGTCTGTGTTATACAGATTTCTCCTTCATATTTATACGGTTTTTCCATGATATTTATTTATGCATTTTTTCCATGATAATTATTTCCCTCACTGGAACGTAAGTTCCAATGAGACTGTTCAGTTTTGCTCCCTCTGAATCTCTGGTGCTTGGATGCATAATAACTATTATTGGAATTCATGAGTGAAATGAAAATCTGTGAAGCTTTGCACCGGTGACACAAATTATGGAAGATCAAAAGATTCAAACTGAAAAAAAGTAACTAATGATCAACAATATCAAACAATTCATGGGGCACCTGGGTGGCTCAGTTGGTTAAGTGTCCTACTTCTGCTCAGGTCATGATCTCACGGTCCATGAGTTCGAGCCCCGTGTCAGGCTCTGTGCTAACAGCTCAGAGCCTGGAGCCTGCTTCAGATTCTGTGTCTCCCTCTCTCTCTCTCTCTGCCCCTCCCCCCTTCATGCTCTGTCTCTGTCTCAAAAATAAATAAACATTAAGAAAAAAATTTAAAGCTTTTTTTTTTTTT